AACATAGCTGACCTACTGCTTGATGGCAGTATATCTGGTCAAAGGGCACAGTCTTTGTTCCAAGATGCACATTCTGCTGCAGCCACAGGAGTTGGAGACTTGGCAACCCCTACTAGCTGTCCTGGCAATTCTTTGCGAAATTTGCCAAGCAGACCTGTTAAGGGTAGCAAATGGAATCCACCTATGGAAGTGCAAGTGCCATTGGAGAACCTGAAGACTCATGCTGCTTATGAGCAGCCACTGTACATGATGATGCCACACACTGACTGTTTTGAACAAGAAATTCTGCGCTCCTGCTAGCTTCGACAAAATTTTGGAATATATTTCTTGGCTCTCTTGATTCAAGATGCATTTCCTTCTTCTGATCCAAATGGAAAAGCAATCACAGGGCCTGTCTGGAGGAAGAAAAGAATTGGTCAGCCTTTGGGCTGTTATGCCATTTTTGGCAGAGATTCGAGGAGATTGGGAATGCTATAAGGATGTTTTCGGGCTCTCTGTCGACATTCCAAATTGATTGGCTGCATGTGGTACTGCAGATTTTGCTAGCAATCTCATGTGCCATGTTCTAGACCGGTTTCTAGGAGCCACCCCCAAGCAGCAGTGCAATTCTATGCGCAGAAGCATTGTAGATTTCTACAGGAGGACTGCTCAAGGCAATGAACTCAATGCCTTGACACCTGGAATGAAAGAGTCCAAGAAAGGAGGCCAAAGCAAGCGCCAGCGCTGGAGAAATGAGAAGTGTTATTCCTTGAGCTGGCAGAGAAAATTTTGAAGAAGGAGGACTCTTGGGAGAACACTGTCCTCCAGGCCCCTCATTTGCTTTTGGCAAATGTACGATTGTTTATCACGAAATTCATTTTGCCAAGCTACCTTCAAGGAACCTAGAAAGTTCCTGCTTCTTTATCTGGCTCTGGAACAGAGCAGTCCTGCAGGGCTGTGGAAGTTCAAGCCTAAATTCCATTTGCTGCAAGAGTTGGCAGAGTTTGACCAAGTTATTCCTTCTTTGTCTCGGACCTACAGGGATGAAGACTGGGGGGATCTGTGGCAGCTGCCTCTAAAAGGAGAGGGGGCGCCAACTCTGCTCATAGTACTTCTTGGAATGTCTTGACGAAATCCAGAGCTCAGAACTTGGTGCCCAAGTGGCCCATCCAGAGGTGAAACTCATTTGTTGATCAGCGACCTGGGTTTCAGGGCACCAGTTGTTCTTGTTGCCCAATCCTTGATGTTTTGCATTAGGATTTTTGCCAGTCTTTTGGAAATCCTTTGAAGGATTGCTGGAACCTTCCTCAAGACTTTCTTTTGCCTATGAAGAAATTTTTCAATCCTGTGAAGGATGTTCGAATCCTGTGAAGGATTCACTTCAATTTTTGATGAAAACAACAACATCTAGACACTTTAAAAAGACACCGAAAAAGACACCTTAAATTAGCGAGTCTAGATTCCTTAAATTTTGTTATATCAGACTCCTTAAATAAGGGGTCCAACTAAATAAAGGTTCTAGGAGGCGCAGCCACCTCCAAGGTCACTGACACCCGATGAGAATTTTGTCTCCACCAGGTTCTTCAAGAGTTGAGTTTTCTCAACACCACCACCAGGTTGGTAAGTGACGCGAAGGTGGTCCGAAATGCGCACCACTGACAGCTGCCTCCCCGCCACCAAATCTCGTTGAAGTTGATCCGGCAGCGCTCCAACCTGCATGGCGATCCCACGCTGTTCAATCCTCCGAAACGCCGGCTCCGCCAACACCTCGGCTTCATCCTAAGTCGCTAGCGCTCCTGCGCAACTGCAAGCGACTCCATGGTCAGCCTCAGTCCCAAAGAGGATGGACGGACGCGCCTTCCCCTCTCATGCGGGGAGTGGAGGCGACTCCAGGTTGCGAAGGTGCTCCGTCAGTCGTCATTGATGCTTGAGAAGATCTGGTGACTCGACGCACTCCTTGGCCAAGGTTTGGATCGCTGTGGGATATAGGTATTTGGTGGATGTAGTTGAAGAGCCACATACGCACACTGGACGTCTCTAGAGCGATCTTCATCTCCCTCTCAAAGCGCTCCTCCTCAAACTTCTTGCCTGGGGTGTTTCAATCTCATCCGGCGCTGGCGATGACGGTTGCTGGTCCTGCGTAGCGCTCCCACTGGCTATGGCCATGTAGAGCTCCCAAACCCACAACATGCCCTCCAAGGTCATTTTGATTTCTACCTCTACCAGGCGTTCCAGTATTTCGCGCCGATCGAAGACCGATTCCCCAATATTGGACATCGCCGGACGGTGGCCGCAGTCACTGCCCCTTGGCCTTGACCAGGTCGAAGCGAAACTTCGCGGGGCGTCATCGCGCGCCACCAATGCCAATTCCAGTCTTCGAGGACCAGCGCCAGCCGATCATGTGTCCTTCACCATCATCTCGTCGATCAGCCCGAGCTTCCAGGCGCCGCCTATAGGCATAGTGCTCAGCGCATCCGCTCGGGCTTATGCATCACCTGAATATAGACAAACTAGTGAGTCGTCCCAGCAGCGATTCACAGAAACATGTGAAAGGGATTGGACTGTTATTGATCTATCTTCGGCCGCTCGCGCAGCTTGTCGAAACAGATGCCAAGCTATCTGAGCTTCTGCCAGCAAGGAAGCTTAAAAAGTTAAAGGCTGAAGTGTTTCTTAGTTTTGTTGCGCCTAGTCGTGGTTGTCAACAGTGATTGATCAATGGCCTCATGTGCACGTTTGACTTCTCCTGGGTTGTTGAGGCTACAAAGTGCCGTTCTGAGGCCACAGCCGGCGACGGTTTGTTGCACACTTTGGCAACGTCTGTTCAACGCCCACCTTCATTTTCGACGACGGTTACACCCTTTGGCAGGCTTGATTTTCGACGACAGTTGCACACTTTGGCAACGTCTACAACGATCCTCGACGTCAGTTACACACTCTGGCACCTTCTACCTTGATTGTCGTCGACAGTGACACAATTTGGCTTCACGTTTCACCGCGCGTTTGAGCACTCAACGTGCGCGATTGCCGCAAAGGGTTCACCAAGGCCAAAGTACCACAGTTTAATGCATGATTTCCACAAACGGTCCCCTCCGCTGCCTCAATTTGAGGGTTCGAAGGATGTCGAAGTTGTAGGGGATTGGTGGGCGTTTTCACCTGTACGTCGGTGCCTGTATCCAAACACCTGCTGTATCTATGCAGGTGTGCTATAGAACAAGCACATCACCTGCATCTCTGTACCTGCAGCCTGCAGGATGATGAGCTGGTTGGTGGTGGTGGTGGTGGTGGTGATGATGATGATGTAGGTGTTGTGTCGCAGTTACATCAACCCTGCATCTTTACACCTTGATGAGGAAGGTGGTGATGATGATGGTGATGATAAAAATGATGTGATGATGATGATGATGACGATGATGATGATGATGGAGGTGTGTGGTATAGCGGCTGCATCACCTGCATCTCTACATCTGGATGTTTGATGAAGAAGATGATGATGATGATGGTGGGGATTACGACAAGAAAAAATGATAATGACGATTTTGATGACGACGATGAATTCGTGATGATGATGATGGTTGGTTGGACACTTGAAATTGGCCACCTTTATTTTCGGAGAACCCTTCGCAGGTGCTTTCGGGAAAAACACACACGACACACATCACCAGGTTCCGTTCGTTTCTGCGTCGGCGGCACTGTTGAGGACCCTAGCGCCGCTGCCGAAACTGCAGCGGAGCGCGCAGAGACCAGGACCATTGTGCTTCGAAACAAGTTGGAGGCGGGTCGTAAGCACTGCGAGACCTCACGCAATAGTTTTTGCTCGTGAGGCTCAACTCCGTGCAAAATTGGTCAATGCAATACCCATGGAATGAAAGACAATAATATCAATATCTCATGGCACATATTTAGCCGCCAATGCCTAGTTATTTTTTCATCTACGTATGTACAAATATGTTGTTTTATCTTCTAATGCGTTTCTCCAACACCTCTTTAAACGGATACGCATGCGAAGTTGTTCCCCACATTTCTCCACATCTTTGTGTGGGCTTTGCAGCCCTTCTCCTCCTCCGCCTCCACCTTCCGCTCATTCCCGCACGCACGGACAGATGCGACGCGCGCACGGGATGATTGGTGGTGTCGACAAGGCTTCATGTCACATTGTTGCATCTAGTGCGTTGCACACAGCATGGCGAAATACATTCGCGACGTCCCTGCGCCATGCGGTTTGGTGAGGCCTTAGTGGAAACTGTGTTTGCGTGGCTCTGCCCGGCAAAGACAGAGTTGTTGAATTTGTTTTATATTGTGCGATGTTTTCGGACCACTCTGTTCATCATCCGTGTCCACTCGCGCACCGGTACCAAGGGAGGACACTATATATAGAGTGTATGTTGCTTTATCATATTTTATCTAGTTGGTATATAACTTGATGTTTTGTCGTCTCTGTCCTGTATCGTGGCCTTCTTTTTTTTCATCAGGCTTACAATGCGCAACTCAGCTTTAATAGACCGGAAGCCCCCACATGTCAAGCTTGTGTTCATAGCAATCCGAAAACGAAACCAACAGACGAGGTTTGATAGCGGGTGACAAAGCTCCATGGCTGGCAAGTGTTCTTGGTTTCCGCTCATTAACTGGAAATGGGTTTTCAAAACATTCTTCAAGTTGTTGAAAAGTAAGGGTTTGTAGGCTGGGGCTTGAAGCCCTAACTACATCCATGTGCATGGTGTGGTTCATCAAAGTAGGTTGAGAACATGAGTCCGTGCCTTTCATTTCACTGGCTATGAACCCATGAACCCTTCCCCACGATTATTCCGTCCTCACCGATCCTCGCAATCAGCCTTTTCCTTTTTCTATTCTCCCAACTCGATCAACATTTCATTTTGCCAAACTTCAACTTTTGCAACCGACACTGTCGCCGATCAAATTGTATGCAAAAGGCCTAGACTATATATGAATATGAATATATATATATTGTTTTGTGTATATATAAGTATAACTGTGTGTATATAAAGATATGCAGCCGCAGCTTTGCCTTTTGCTTTGACTATTGATATTGGTCATGACTCATGACGATGAACGGTAAGCAGACAAGTAAAGACAAGGCCCTCAAGGAGCCGCTGGGGATCATTGGGAACACGCCATTTTGATCTCCCTGCTTATTTCCTCTATGAAATGGTGGGGTCAGCGCCATATCAAACATCTTAGGACATCATTTTATAGAGAATTGTGTGTGTGTGTGTGCAAGAGCTTGATGTTGCTTTTGTTGTTTCTTTTTAAGCACCATGATGTGGCATGAATGTGAGATGAAAAAAAACAACATGTGATGTTGTTGCCAACATGTATGAAAACATATGAAAACTAAATGAGGAAGGATGCGGCGGATGCGGAGAACTATTGAATGCCTAGAGGAAGAACTGTTTGCCTGGCGTGAAATCACCTGGCACGATTAGGAAACGCAAACCCAGCAGCACCCCTGCCTCTATAACCTACTGTATATATTATGGACCCCCAGCAAACCTATTTTACAGTTGTCACGCATGAATTCACTACCCTGTCGGCAAAAGGGACATTGGCTAATATACCCACACACGCCTCTCTAAAATTGGTGTCCTGACCCCTCCCAAGCATAATTTTGTAATTTGTTCACACTTCCAGTTCCTTTGCAGTCCTTTATCATCTTTCCCACCTGCAAGATTCAATCTTATGGTTTTTTCCTGGTTCATGTTTCTTCCCAAAATGGGTATCCTAACTTCTCCTCATCCTTTTTTAAGTTTCGTGCCTTCTACCCCTTGCCACACCTTACCCACCTGCCAGAGCTACTCTTCCAGGGTTCTTCCAGAGTGCTTCCCAGCCGTATTCCAGGGCCCTCCTAATGAATTAACCTGGCCCCATACCGGCCCTCCTAATGAATTAGCCTGACCCTATAAAATGGGTGTCCTGACCTCTCCTCACCCATTTTCTCAAAGGTTTCTTGCCATCTATCTTCCCTTCGCCACACCCTAACTACGTGCCTTCCTCCAGTGTGCTTCCCAGCCCTGTTCCAGGTCCTCCTAATGAATTAGTCTGGCCTGCCACCCAATACCTCTATAGAATGTGTGTTTTGACCTCTCCTCACCCATGTTTTAAACGTATCTTGCTTTTTGGAAAATGTATTAGGTCATGTCAGAAATGCATTTCCATCCTATGGCGTCCCCAGCATTTCAAGCCTTTCGGGGAATGAGTAGAAATAGTAAACGAATCATGGACAGAGGTGCTGGCAAATCATGATTCGATCCCTGCTTTTGGACCATGCATCATGTGGTTGAAATGTCAGAAATGCGTGTCCATCCTTTGGCATCCCCAGCATTTTAAGCACTGTTCCAGTGCCCTCCTAATGAATTTGTCTCGCCCTCCCACCCAATGCCTCTATAAAATGGGTGTCCTGACCTCTCCTCATCCATTGTTTTTGTTTCTTGCCATCTACCCCTTGCCACACCTTACCCACAACTGATGAGGAGGAGAGTTGTTTCTTCCTTTTTTGCTTCCGCTTTGGCTGTTGAATGCTGTTGATATTCAAGAAGTTTGACGATGTGACTTTTGTGTTGGAAAGTTTATGAGTGAAATATGATTTTTCCTGGAAGCTTTTGGGATGCTGGGTTACTAAGTCTGACACTAGACTTAGAGAGACTTAGGCTGAGAATATGAGCGCTCAGAAAAAGAAGAAACTATTTACTGCTTCAAATGGTACACTCATGCTTGGAAAATGGCCTCATGTAAGGTCATTTTAGGATTTTCCAATTTATCTCAGGTTTTTTGATTTAGGCTACCCTGCAGGTTGGGACCACCATTTCATGTCTATAAAATGACTCTCAAGACCCCCCCTCCTGAATGGACAGGGTCTCGGAACGAAAGACGTCATTTGTTGGCTTAGCCGTATCATTCTCGTTTGCATTTGTTTTGACTGCAGTTTCATTGTGTTTCACTAAAGTGGTTGCTCCGGAACTAGCGTTACTGTTCTCGAAATATTCATGATATTGATCTCATTTAGTGCAAGCAACTTTCACATTGCTTGACATTTCTTGAGCAACGGAGGCATCGCTTCGCGTCTCACAAACATCCAGCACCTGGCATCGCGCCTCATGAACATCCGACACCTCGCTTTGATCACAAACATCCGACATAATGCTGTACTGGTACAGGTAAGTCAAGATAGTCAAGACTGCATTGGTGTAAGACGGATTGCATCAGGATGGGCACCACATATTATCAACTTGCATGCACAAGTTGACTTACAGCGGTGACGCAAGCCCTCCGTTGTTCAAGTGCTTGCAACGATATTGCTGAAGGTGCAAACACACCGGTAGAGCTTTTTTGTGGCATGAACATTGTTGGGCCGGGCAAGATGAACAGAAGTGCTTCGTCCTCCCATGCTTTGAAGGCAGCTACATCTCAGTCACTACAATTGTCTAGAATTGTTTTTCGCATAGTTTGCCACAGCAAATTGCGAATTTCAAATGAACACCAATGTTTGGAAATCATTTGCTCCAAATCGCAGGTTTTGAACACCTTTTCAAAGACAACGCAAACGTTCACACTCAAAAAGCACAAAAATGCAGGCGGGGTGGTTGTTCACCGGGCAGGTTGTTCCTAGAAAAAGACTCGCTCAAGGAATGCTATATTGAACACATGCCAAAAGAAAGTGTGTATGTGTGTGTGTCAAATCCTGTTCCGACACGAGTTGGAACTCAAGCAGGAGCAGATGCCCATGTCATTTCTTTGCCAACTAAACTGGGAAAGGATACTAGTATAGACTGGGGACACCTGATCTATGCACCTGTCCACACCTTACGTACACCTCAAGTTGGTGCACTCTGGACCCCACTTGTCAAAGATGGATCTCACCTGGACAGCCCGCCATTGCATCATATCATACTGATGCAATTGTTCAATTCGACTCTCAGCTTATGAGTTTTTGATTCTTGCAAACCAATTGCTCAAAAAGATTTCACCAACTAAAAAAACTGAATTTAATTTAGTGCAACTGCAAACTTGCAATCCATTTTTCTGCTTATGCTGCGTGTGGAAGTCCCAGCCTCTTCCAGTACCACAGTCCGTGGATGGCGGTACCCTCACGCAATGGCAAAATGGCGATACAGTAGAAGACA